TTAGGACACTGCCGTGGGTTTGGCTGCGACAGAGCTGATTTTCAGTCTTAGCAGCTGCGTTTTTTTGGGGTTCATCGGCTCCCTCCAGCATTCATCGGCTCTCTCCAGCATTCATCGGCTCCCCCCAAAGGCTTCGGGCGAAACCAGACGCGCTCCGCACACCCCGAGCCGCGATGCCGGCACCGCATCACAGCCCACCCTCCCCTGCCGAGGGACACCCCGGCTCGCTTCTCCTCCTCCTCCTCCTCGGCATAAAAGGGGCTTTTTTCCCCCGGGCCACGGGCTCACCCACCTCTCCCCGCAGCTTTCGGCTCAGGCTCTCCCAGTACCTCGCCGGGACCCCCGAGGCTCGGAGCGCGGCCCCGTGAAGGGCCACGAAGGCCGCAGGGTCCCCCTCGCCGTCCCCCGACATGGCCGGGCCTGGCCCCCGCCCCCCGCCGACCGAACACGCCGGGAGGAGGCGGCTCCAGCCCTGAGGAGGGCGGGGAGGAGGGAGCACCGGCGGGCACCCAACCACCCGCCTCGGTGGCCGAACCCCCGTCCGGGGGGGTTCGCCACCGAGGCGGGTGTGTGCCCCAGCCACTCCGACAACACCCCCTGAGGAGAGAAGGGGGCTGAGGGGCTCCGTCCTGCTGAGCCGTGGGCTCTGCCTCCGCCTCGCTCTAATAAAACCACACAAGCTTCAGTAAAATCGCAGCGTTTTATTGCGTTTATTTTCCCGACCAAAGGGGGCTTTTCCCAGGGTGGGGTGCGATGCCTGGCACGGCCCCACAGCCCGGTGAGAATTCGCTCCCTTGAGGGCTGCGAGCGCTGAGGGAAAAAAACTCGACAGCGCGCAGTCATCTTTTTTAAATTAAAAACGCTTTATTATTGTTATTTCGAGCTCCCCCAAGCAAATTTTAACGCGTAGGCCTCTCTTAAGCGTCTCAGTATAAACTGAGCACATCTCCCTCAGTATAAACTGAGCACATCTCCCACTGAGGGAGATGCGCTTTTTGCAACCAGGGAGCTGCTCTCCCAGTGCTGTTCAGAAGAGATTTTCTTCCCTTCCTGCCAGGATTTTGTGGGGAATAGCCCAAACCAGTTTCGCCCGAGGCTCTCTAAACATCACTGGCAGCTTTGGTCTCGGCTCGGGTATGGTTATAAAGCTACAAGAGCGGGTTGTCCGACGCTCGGTGGCTGCTCCGAGGGCTTCGCTGTGCCCGCTGCGGACGGGAGTAGAAAGAGATTAAAAGTGGTGCCTACGTGCTTGTAACTAAACATCAGCCTTCAGCAGCTCAATCTTCAGGTTGGATATCTGAATAGTAAAGGCAGGCAAATCTTCCTCTTCGCCTGGGACCGTGTCTGCCTCCCCACGTGCTGCGTTCCCACACTTCCTCGGGATAAAGGCTGCGCTCGGATGTCGCTGAGGGGGCCTCCCTGATTAAAACAGCAGAAGATCAAAAAATTAGTTGTATTTCCAGTGTTCCTTGACTGGGTTCCTGCCCTGCTACCCTGAGTTTGAGCATGTTTTTTTGCTGTTATTTTGCCTTGGTGAAAGAGGGTGGCTGTGGTGTTGATCTTGCCCTAGTATTGTAAAATGTGGAGATTAGATCACTTACTAGTCCTTGCTTACTAAAAAGGCCACCTTTCCCTCATTTCTGTCTTTGCCATAGACTCACTACCTGACTACCTACCCAACACGATACATTTCTACACGGTATGGAGTATATCAATCTACATGACCTGTTTTTTTAGCATAGATTTTGTTCACTACAAAAAGTCATCTCAAGTTGGGAGTGTTTACTACTCCTCATTTGAGCTGGTTGTTTGTTTCGTTTGTTTACTTCTCTTTTGTTTGTTTGTTTTTTGACAGACGGCTATAAAAATAAGAAAGTTCCCAGAAAATACATAATAATGTTATAGTTAAGTAAAATTTTTTTAGCCTTTGAAAAAAAAAAAAAAGTCAATATTTTTTCCTCAAACGAACCAAGTATGAAAAGTGGGGTGTATTTTCATTCCTTTGTTCAGTAAAGCCACAGTGATGATGTCCTGTCCAGAAGCAAGGGGAATGTGATCCTGCTCTATTCCTTTAATTCTTGCTCGTGCCATAGCCCAGAAATACCACAGTGAGCCTTTCAGGAAAGCAGGTGGATAATCTTTGTAAAGAAAAAGTCACCGCAGTATTTTATTCTGATTGTTTCCTTAGCAAGAGTGGCTCATTTACAGCGCCTGAACAATGCAGTCCTTACTGAGGCAAAGTGCTTGTTAAATGTAATGGGTTACTTTACATAGGTATTTGCAGAGAATGCAAAAAGGTCTCAGAAAGGCTGAGCTTAGTAGTCTAAAATAAGAGGATTTGGCCTTATGGCACTATCTGTAGGGGGCCAGTCCATGCAGCTGTTGAGCCTCTGGTCACAGCAGTCCCAATGACTTATCCACCAACCCCCCACTTAGTTCCTGCCCTGGAGCAGAAATTTATCGTGAGCTGGCACATGTGAAGTAGCATTTGCCCCCAACGAACACAACTGGGGTTGCACAGAGTTCTGTGAGTCTGGCAGTTTGTGGCTTTATTCCAAGTGTTTATGGCTGTCTGATCCCAAAAGATCCGATGTGCTTTGCCCACTTCATTTTCCTGTTGTTTCACGTTAGAACCTTCCTCTCTGGCAACAAGAGATGCAAGGGACAGAAGACACCCTAACATAATAGTGAAAAGGAGATGCAGGGACATACTTTTGGTGCATTTGACACTAAATGCCGTAATATGTTATAAAAGAAACTATTTGCTTTCAAATAAACAGCTTTCTCAATGGTAAAACTAGGACTTCAAAGCATGGAAAGCTGAGATAGGGGCTTAAATAAGAGGAACATAAATTTCTGTAAATACTTTATCATAGCTGTGAGCTTAAAACCTCAGAGATGCTGCTATAAGAAGGCAAAACATATTCTTCTGCATCAAAACAGCAGTTACTGTGTATAGCTTTTGCTTGCCTGCTTTTGTGGACAGGTATATTTTTTTGGGAAGGTCCTGCAAGAATCCCCAAACAGCACTGACTGTTTTGCACTCACCTGGCAAGGAAGCTGTGCAGAGGCAGTGAGTGTGGAGTTTGGAAGGAGCCCTGGAGAAAAAGAGCCCTGGAGAACAGGTGGATGAATGATCTTAGCAAGGCTGGACTTAACCTCCTGCCTAAAAGTCTGGCAAGAGATCAGTGTCTTAAGAATAATAAACAAATTGTCTGGTATAAACAATATTTTCACTGATTGTTTTCCCCAAAAAACATATTTACTGCAGTAAACGTATTTGCTGCAGTTTTTCCACAAGCTGTTTGGGTACCTTAGGAAAGGCAGATCCCTGTTCTTCACTTTCCTGTGCCTTTAGGCATACACAGCATGTCATCAGATATATTACTTCTATAAAACTCTGTCCAACCTGAACCTCCCCTGGTTTCAATATTTCCCAGAATAATCTTTTCCATGATTTTACCAGGCTGAGTGAGACTGACAGGCCTGTGGTTTCCAGGGTCCTCCTCATTCTTTCACCAGCTTCCAGTCAGCTGGGACCTCTCCAGAATCCCATCGAAGATTTTGTCCTTGAACAGAGATACTTTTTTACCAGAAATCAATTTGATTTCTAATTATTTCCAGGAACTTTAGAGTTCAGCTTTTCTCTATGTTTGACAGGAGCTGCCTTTTCTTGTTGCACATTTAAAGCTCTGAAGCTGTAGGGACAGCTGCATGCCATCTCACATGGCCCCATAAAATGATGTTACATCTTCTTGGAATGAGATAACTGCCCATATTACCTAAATGGATTCCCAGCAGCTGAAAAAAGGCAATAATTGATGTTTTGCTGCCAGTCTCCTTATGCCTTTCAAACCTGGCAGAGACACCAAAAGTCCTCAGTCATAGTGTCAGCATTTATATAATTTACAACATACATGAAATCAGCAGAGCATAGTGTCACATAACAAATGCTTTCTCTTAACAAGCTAAATGAGGATGTGCAGCGGGATGCTGGGACAGGAGACCTCCTGCCTGTCCTACTGCCAGTGGCTGCTGCAGTGTTATCAACGCTCCACAGGCTGTGCTCATCTCCTAACAAGCGCTCACTGCTGGGTGGCAAACCCGGACCAGGTGTTGTCAAACCTCCACCAGGTGTTACCAGCTGGATTAATGACAGCTCTGCTTTTTGTCTGCCCCAGCATGCTGTGTAACCTCGGTGACAACTTGTGCCGCAGAAGGTGATTAAAATCACACCTGACCGAGCTACTGAGGTCACTGGGTCTATTTTCTGTCAGTTTGTCACCTATTTTCATCATTACCAGCATCACTTGGGCCACTGATTGTACAAATTCTACTTGCTTTGTAATCTTAGACTGCCCAAGGGTACAACCATAGTAAAATTCAGCAGCAAATACGCTTTTTCTACAGGAGAACTGGAGGGGGAACCCATACTTTTCATCTCTTCAAGTCACTGTTCTGGGTGCAAGTGTAGTTTCCTCTCACTCTAGTCCTCAGTAGGACAAGCAGCAGCTGTGTTTGGAGACACAGGTCTCCTTGGCAGCTTGTGGTGGGAACAGCCCATCAGGCCACCAGTGGAAGAGAATTTCCTTCCTCTTTTTTTGAGACTGCTTCTCAATAGAGGCATGTGGGAAAAGGCACCTGCGTGGTAACATCATGTTAAAGAAACAGTTAAAGGTCTTGGAGGGATGTTGGTGATGTGGTGCTTCGCTGTGGCCAGGATTTCTTCTTGCTCTGAAAAACTCTCCTTGAAGACTGTTTGGAAGGAAATTAATTCAGTGGCCCAGCACCCGCAAACTCCAGTTGTTTGATGAGAAAGAAAAGGCTCTCTGTTGCTCAGGGATGAAAACTAGACCAAGATATGTAAATGCTATCAAAAAAGAGAAGTTCTCTTCTGATTCTTGTCCATGTACACAAATAAACAGCAGGCAGGGGTTATCCATTCCATTTTATGTTTATTATGAAAGGGATTTTAACAAAAGTTTTATTACATGCTTCATTTTGAGCTCTGACGTAGCAAATCAAAGCTATTAATATACAGAGGCAAAAGGAAATGTATTTTCTTATAAGGTACATTTACAACAACATCTTCTACTATAAATCTGACAGAATTGTTAAAATATTGGTAAAGCTCAGCACTGTATTTTATTTTCTAAGTATCAAATTTTGTACAGTTATTCGCTATCCTTGCTCTAAACTATTATCGTACATTTCATATGGAAATACTGTTTGTACACAATTTACATTGGTAATAAAGCTTAGAAGTCCCAGCAGCATCTACAACAGTTTAGTTCAAAATGTCACCCTTGTCCAGTGATTTACAAGGAGCAAATTGGGGCAGAAACTAATATTACACTCCGTGTGTTTTGCCCCAAAATCTATTCTACCAGAAATTCCTGCTTAAACTGGTGATGGACATGATGATAATGAGCTTTTTGCCTAAAAAATGCTCTATGAGCTGATCCAATATGAGGTTTTATCTCTTCCAGTAGGAGCAAAGAGATAACTTCCCTTGTCTTTTTACTACACTTGGGTGTCATCTATTGAATTCCCTTTTATTATATTTCTGAGCTTTGTGTAGCACTAACTTTAAAACGCATATTCTTTATATATTATGAAAATGGTAAACACTTCAGAATGACACCTGATAGTCAGTTCTGTGGAACTGAACACGTTAAATTGCCCCAGAAAACTCTTCCTATGATGCCAGTGAGACTGAAGGAATAACAGGATCTATAATCTGGAAGGATAACCACCCCAGTCTCCTAAAGTACCTTTATAATCATCATGTTGAGTCTCTGCTGCTTTCAATGCAAATTAATGGCCTTTCTAAGTTATAAAACATAGAAAACAATATTTACAAAATAATTTTAATTAAAAAAAAGTAACAAAAACAAACTCTAAAAAAGATATTTTCACAATCATTAAAATAAAGTTTAATTATCAAAGCCACTTCTTTTTCTAGATATTGAGAAGTTCAGCTAAAATTGAATTGCAATTGTTGGTATAACTTGTTATCTCCACTTTCTGAATACAGATGGTTTAAATTATTACATCTAAAGGTACTTCTGTACATTTTACTCTTGTATATTACATATTAATTTTATAGATTAAAAGCTTTATGATGAAACAGAATAAATAAATGAAACAACAAACTGGAATTGTATATATTCAGATACTTAGAGAACAGTTTTTTGACACTGTTTATTTCCCAGTCTGTTTCTGTTCAGATGAGAGATGTTCTGATAAAACCTGAGACTTGTCTCTGAAGCCAAGTCTCACTCTGAGGAATAAGCCCATAGTACCTTACAGAAATTTCACTTCTTCCATAAATTCTTATGGAAGACAAAAGTATTTTTTTTTCCCAAGTGCTTACAACAGTCTCTCGTTCTAGAAACCTATTTCATTAAAGTCTCAAAGTATTGAGAGTCTACAAGAAACTCCTCCAGTTACTACCATTCCTGTCAATCAGTGGTTTTAAACTAGGAGAAAATGCAACGATGTGAACTCATGACACAGATCCAGGGAACCGCGTGTCACTCATTCCCATCAGCAGAAAATCACCGAGACCCCTGAGGTGGCTGACAAATTTGGCTTCAGCTGCTGAAGATTTCACTCCAGCTTCTTTTTGAAGAGCCCCACAGGTATTTAGAGTCCCAGACATGGGAACTGTCACAGAGCAGGGAGGTTTTGCTGTCAAAGACCTGTCAGCAGATCCTGCAGAACAACCATCCCCCTGCTTTCTGCTCCTGAAGTTCCCAACCTGTTTTCTGCAGGATGAAAACTGGGTTGTTTATTGTTAAGACTGACCTGAGAAATCTGAATCTGTTGGACAGGCTTACAAAGGGCCGTGGGGTGGGGTTTGACTGTCCTTTTTGAATGCTGAACACACATAAAGGATGTTTCTTGTTTGTGTGGCGTCATCCTCGTGTTCTGCTCACAGACAGAGGGCCACAGCTGAGCTCTGCTCTTTCCAAACCAGCTGACAACTCAAGAATGTGGGCTCTGAAAACGTTGTGACCAGTCCAGTATTTATTTAAGCTAGTCTAAAACTAAACTAAACCTGGCTTTTTAAAGCTAGTTTTAAGGAAGCTTACTTACTTTTAAGTGAGCTTACCCTAGAATGAAGCCGACGTGTAGGAAAGATTAGTCTAACTCTTAAGTAGTCCTAACTTTATTCTGTGTGGGAGACACAAAGAGGAAATGAATTCCTTTTGAAAAATCTGTCTTCAGGTCAAAATCTGATGTGTGATGGAGCTGAACGAAGACTTCAGCAGTTTTAAATCCACTTACAGGGAGCTAAATCTTCAGGCAGAATAAATCTTGCTATCGCAGGCAGGACCCAGGTGGTAATGTATTGAACACCAAATCCTGATGTTCCCTGCACTCAAATGACACACACAGACCTTGCCCTAAGTGAACACCAAATCCTGGTGTTCCCTGCACTCAAATGACACACACAGACCTTGCCTTAAGTGCTTTCAAGGCATGACTCTGGGCTTGATTAGCAACCTTGGATTGTTGCAGGCTCCTGGACTGTGGCAGGAGGTGATTTGGTGGCCTGTGAGAATGCTTAGGGATGATTCACCACCACCTCATAGAAATAAGTGCCGTGTTTAAAGCAGAGGAGGCTTAAAATGGTAAGTGCTGCGGGTGCAGCTTTTAAGCACACAAGGCATTTGCAAATGGAAAACAAGGAGCTCTGTTTGTGCCACAGAATTGGGCAATCACAAATGGGCACTTGTCCAGCCTTCCTGCAATAACACAAAAACATGTTGTTGCACCTCTCCTGCATACAATGTGTAATGCCATAAGAGCAGATGCAGGGCTGTATTTATTATGTTTAAATGCTCAAATTCTGTGCTCTACTGATTCTAGCATTTCACAAAGCTGGTTTTCTCAAAGGCAGCCGCATTTCTCCTCGTGTGGTTTTTGATTCCCAAATGTTCCTAGGACTTCTCCATAGAAGAAGACTTTCCTTGTTGTTGTACTGCTATTGTGTGACAATGAAGGCATCCTACACCAATGCTAACAAATGAAGAGCTGAACTCACCTTCTATTTGGTGACTGCCAGTTTCTGTAACTGTAAACCTAGTATGGAATTCGAAGCATTTTTAACTTTATATACCACTTGTCATTACTTTTTTCACTAGAAATTGGCACATCCAGGAGCATTTCTAAGTAGAGCCGCAAACATTCAAACCTGACTCATTTTTCTGATTATGTCCAAACATGTTGGTCACTGAGCAAAACGTTTTAGGAAGTATTTTACTAAAACTCACCGTACAGCAACAGGTTCCAGAGTTTGCTCACTGAAGTCTGAAATTCTAAAGGCCACTGTAAATAATTCACCAAATGAGGGAGTTAATTTTCTCCATGTTTTTCATATTTTTCCTTCATATCTTTCAGTAGAATGGCTGCAATCCTGACCCATTCTAATGAATCTTGACAATACTCTGAATAACCTGTCAGACTTTGAAGCACTGTTTGGCTAAAGTAGTTTTTTCAGCTATACACTCCCACATAATTTGAGTACCTAAAAACTTTTTGCTTTTTAATTTTTTTTTCTCCCTAAAAATAATTACTGAGAAGGGAAAAAATACATGAAACTTTTTTTCTCGTTGTTGTTCCAGACACACAGTGAATTGTAGGAATGACAAGAATGTCTTCTTTGAAAGTCCCCTTTTCGTAACTCGGGGTGAATAATAAATAAAAGTAGTTACAACATCCTCACAAAAAGTTTAGGTTTAACAGCCTTTAACAAAGGATTTTTATGGAGAAATTATATTTGGAAATGAGGGTTAATGTAGGTATTAAAGAGAAAGCCCATCAAAGACCTAAGAGCCATGAGTGGAAAAAAATGAGTTGTCAGACCCTAAGTTCAGGCTGTCTCTGAAGACTCCAACTCCTCTGCATATTGAAAGAGATTGTCCCAGAGGAAACCATTATCCAGTATTATAAAACTCCCAAAGGCTTCAGTTCGGTGTCAATAGAAGTGACAAGCACTTGGAGAAGTCATTTAATCATCTACACAAAGTTACATATAGATATGAGTAAATAGGGTGTGTGGGAGTAAAGATTTAAGCATGAATAATATTTACAGTAACTAGAGATAACATTACTAATGTACCCACAAATAGAAGTATATATTTATATATTTATATATTGTACTTAATTAGATGCTCTCTTAATGGAAAGAAAAACAAGACTGCTAGTGTGGTTGCTGTTCATTTCTCACATATCCTATTGGAAATGCCTTTAAAGGGACCAACTGGTGCACGGAAATCCAGAGCTAAATCTGTTTCAATCAAATAATTGACAGTGGCAAACCTCTGAAGAAGTTTAGAAGAGGACAGATAAAAACATTAGGACATTAGGGCATGGGACTCAATCTCATGTAGTTCATAAAACAAAATTATACATATGTTTCTTTTTTTTTTTCTCTTTTTTTCCCTTTTTGATTTCTACTTGGACAGAGGATCCACCAAGCCACAACTGAGAAATAACAAAATTTAGATTTTTTTTGTTTTCTTCTAAAGATTCAAATATAAACTTCAAGTGCAATTCAAAAATCCAAATATTATTTATACTACATACTTCTCTCTACAACAGAACTTATCTGCAGGTAGTTTAATCACATTTGAATAGATTCCTCCTTTCTTTGACAAAAGTTATTGTTGATGGAAAAATAAAAAGCTCGAAAGAATATTTTCTACATCATGAAATTTCAAATGGGGAGTGAGGATACACTAGTGCAGACACAAATTCAGATCTTCAACGAGATGCACTCAGGGATGCACTTTTTTTTTTTTTTGGTAGTAAAAATCCCGTTCAAAACATTGACTTTTAACAATTATAAAACATTATAGGCGTTCTTCCATATACAACTGAGAACAAAGACTGCAAAAAAGAGCCTTCAAGTTAGCAAATGTTTCTACTATGGAGGAAAGACGATATTTGACAGGAATGCAAAGTAACCAAAAATTGAGTACCACTGGACTACTTGTATGGTCGTAGAAATCTGGACACTTTGGATCGCAGCAGCTTTATAAATGATCTTGGGAACATTTCTTTTGACTCTTGTGCTGTGTACTTGAAATAGTTTTGTGGGTGTGCCAGTACATCAAAGAGAGCTTTAATCAGTTTCTTGTCCTGTGGAAGACAAAATATATATATATATATGTTAGATAAAAGTAGAGTTTGGATTTAGTGTCTGCACAGGTTTCAAAACTAAAGAACAACAATCAGATTTATCTTGCAACACTTGAGTCTGGGTGAGGCAGAGTAAGGAAACTGCTCCATGTTGCTGTTGTGTTTTATATTGATTAGTCTGTCTACCATTAGCCTTCCTGGCAGGTCTTGTATCAAGAGAGATAAAGTTAATCACAAACTTGCTGCAGTACCTTTGGAAAGCCATTTCCTGGACAGCTTGCAATGCTCCATATTATGTCTTGTTGAGGCAGGACAGTGATTTAGGTAAACACATTTTTTAATGCATGGAAAACTTAATGACTCATTTGAACATTCAAATGCCAGGCTGAGGCTGGCAAAGGCTCTTCAAACCATGGGCTCTTCATTCCTGGCTGACTAATTTTTCTAACATACAATCTTATTAATCACATTAGCACACATTTAATTCAGTTCCCGATTCCACAAAGGGCTGAGCTGAGCTACTGGTTTTGTGCTGCTCCAAATACCAGCATAAACCTCAGAAGACAGAGAATTGAATTTGGGGTCACACTTGAGCTTTAAATATAATGACCCTCTCAAAGTAATAAGACCCTATCGAGGTAATAAGGACTATTTTGGGAAAATACTCAGTGGAAGGAGTTATTGGTTGGCCTCAGATAAAGCAGAAATTTCTCACCTTTAGAATTTCCTGATGATTTTCTGACGCATATAATCGGCCGTCTCGAACAATGTCTTCTATTAGTTGTTGGTAATCCTCTGAAAAATAAAGATCACTTGAATGACTGTTTGGGACATCCTTTGGGAGGATAACAGCCAGAAATTAGACCTCCTCTTGAAGACAGTGCTGAGAAATTTCATATCTAGTAAATTATTCACTGTCTCTCAGGTTGCTTTAGTCTAAATTTAAAAAAAACCATAAAATTCTCTACTGCTTTAGAACAGTAATTTTGAATTATTCCTATAAATACTAACATCCTCAAAATCCTACTCCATCCCGATAATTATCTGCATTCTGGAGACGAAGAAACAGGACCAGGGATAAAAAATAACTGACAAAGGTTATATATAATAATATATATATTATTTCAGTAAGTCTTTGCGACTAGAAGTAATTAAATGGACTGAAAATGAGTTACATCAAGTTTTTCCTCATTCTTCTCTCCCTGTAAGCAGTGTAAGAAAGATTCTTGAGGACAATTTTCTGTAATTCAGATGTAACAAAAAGGTGGAAAACAATTCCATTCTCACCATCATAAGTCACATAGGGGACCTGAAATCCTTTGCCACTGTTTCCTTCATTTGACTTGAACTGAATCCAGAGCTTCCTTGATCTTGAGGTAAATGCAATAGGTCTCTCATAAGTCTGACATGTTTCATATGTGGTAATTGAAGTAGGAGAAGCTGGAAATAAATGATGTTCTTTATAAAATGATTTTTTTGCACCCTTCCTCGTCTAGGGGTCAGAAATGTCAAACTGGCAGGACACTTCTCAAGCTGACAAGTTTTTTGTGACAGAATGGGTGTAGTCTTTATCTGCCTATAAGGAGAAGTAGGTTTTTCCACAAAGGTAATGGGAGTCCCACAGCAAGAAGCTTAAGTAGACGGTGAGGGATAACTTCTGACATTTATAAAGTTACTATGGATATTAGTTATTTTGTTTACTACTCTAGCATTGAATTCCAGAGCTCCCATATGCTTGTCCCAGACAGGTAAGAACAAGTGTGCTGCACATAGACTCTCAAGGATAAAAAGTTATGAAAACTGCTTTAGCAAATAAAATACATCACTTTAGCGAGTAAAATACACTGCTTTGAACAAAGCTCCATATAAACAATTGCCACTGAGGTTTGGTGCTTCTTGCAGATTCAGCAACAGATCACCAGAAGGAAGCCTGCATCCTCCATGTGAAAGAGGAGAGCATCTCACTGGTGTCTTAACTCCACATAAAACTGGGAAAACTCTGGATTTCTTGAGGGTGTCAGTGGTACCATTAGCAATAACTTCAGTGTATGTGTATTTACAGAGGGTGAGAGGACAAGCTGTACAGATTACAGAAGATGGCTCTCCCAGTATAATTTAGCATGGCTTTGCTGGCTTCTGGAGGGGCAGGGATTTACCCCTTGTGATAACTGGGCCAGACAGAAGCCCATTACCTGCTTTGTGATTCAGACAGGAAACCTGAATAATTAGTATCAATCACTCTGTTAACTGTTACTGGGGGTGTTCTGTTCTAACTTGCTGCGCCCCTTCATTCCACAATCCTTTTAGAAACACCAGCTACATGAAGACAGTCACCCTTTCAAATATGAACTTTCCAATCCAATCAGTTTGCAACAAATACAACCCATGTCTGGCAACTCACCACTTTTCCTCATTACTAAAACATCACCACATTCATCTTCGATTGGGAGGAATATCTCAGGTACTACAATGAGTATCCTCCTCTTTGGGGGGGGGTTTATATTCCAAATGCATTCGACATTAGCTGGGTAGTCTCCAGGATAATTGGGTGATTCAATGTAGCCAGTATAGTCCCCAAGTTCTCCTCCACAGTGCTGGTCTGTGGAGAAACAGAAATAATTAGCATTTGTGTTAGCTGATCAGCTAATCTGAGGTGTTTTTCTAGATCTGTCAAGAGCAAGTCTAAACTCCTCCTTGTGCCTTTAGAAGGACATGAGGAAAAGCCCTTAGGGAAAGCCTTTAAAGGATTTCCAACTGATTTGCAAAATCTTAGGTGCATGAGCTGATTTAATAGTTCATTCAGGCTGCTTTAACATTTCATTGAGAAGCACAGGTAGGTAACCATGATCCAGCTGTGGAGTTACTCACACAGTGGTCACCATGGAGACTGTGCTGACATGCACCTGGTTTAACTTCACTTCTTTTTTAACCTGATTTAGCTGAATGAGCATGATCTTGATCACAGATCTGCCTTGTTTCATCTCAGATTAAACCAGTCAATAAAGAAACTCCATTAATGGATCAGTTTTTCTTCCTAAGTTTTCAAAACTCCTCTTGAATTTGGCACAAGTCACTTAAACGTGATCTCTCCAGGCCTACTCATCCACATAAAACTAGATATATGTTTAAATACTTTGCTTAATCCAACCCTCAAAGATTATGCAAGGTCAGAAACTGGCTTGAAAACAGGGAGTATCTAAGACAGCAACAAGGATGGTTTTATTTTACAGGAGAATCATCAAACTTCTTCAAATTTCTTACAAATATATAATTTACTCCAATTTCATTAGGAATTATGAAGGGTTAGACACATCTCACATATTCAGAATAAAAACTTAAAATAGATTTGTACATGAACAGTTAGTTTAGATGACACTGCTTAATTATTATAGAGACACTGTCTTAAATTAGCATGGTAGAGATGGAAACAAAAGCTTGCCTAAAAGAATCAGTCATTCACAAAAGATCAAATAAAACTGCACTGAAATCCTTGGGGAGATTTAAAATGGTAATTGAAGGTAGGAGGCCGAGTACTGCAAAAAGGCCTGCAGGATCTCACTGTCATAAGTGATTACCTGGCAGCTGCACTATGCAGGACCATCTCTGCTAATATTTTATAATTATTATAAAATGGCAGTAACTCTGAGAGAAGATCCTGTGCTCTGCAGTCACACAGAAATATGCATCACTGTCAGACAACCTCCAGGATCGGGGAAACTAAAGGCTCTGTAGGTTTAACTTGTAGCTGGTACTCTGTGAAATCACATTAAACCTAAAGCACTCCCATGGATCAAAGGCTACTTTTCCTATTTTTCTCTCATTCTTTTCCCAATTCTTACTATTCCCTCTGGCAGTAGACACATGCTAACTAGGAAATACAGAATTGAAGTCCAGCCTGTGAGATGGAGCCTTCAAGCTGCAGTTCAGAGCCAAAGCCATGCTTTATGTCACAACCAATACCAGTGTGACTTACTTTTGCAGTGTGTAACATTAGTGGAGCCATCAAAATCCGTGCTGGTGTTCCCAGGGCAGGTGATGCAGTAGTTCTGCCCAAACTCAGGCTGGTAGGTCCCCGCAGGGCATCGGATGCATCTGTGTGTGGTGGAGTTGTAGTAGTGCCCAGGAGAGCAGTGAACTGCAGGGTAGGAGGTGTATTATTTTCAGAAAGGAGCAATTTCAGTGCAAAGAGAACTTTCTACCTGGACATACCTCAGGATCCCTGTTCTGCAATATTTATTAGGCTGTAAAAGGCAGAAAAGACATCAGCTCCCTGCACTTTCCAGTACAAAGGATCTTCCAACTACAATCCCAAGACCAGAGCTAAGCCCTGATGAACTAGTAGTGTGTGCTACACATCTCTCACTGTTTCCTATGAATTTATAATAAATGGAAGCTGATGCAGACCCACCTCAACAAGAAAAATGACTTTCACAATAGCAGGAGAGAGGTTTCCATTTGTGTCTGTTTGCATGTCATTCCAGTAACTAAACCAAAATGCATTTGGGCAGATTCCTTCTTGAGCACTGGCACTGGAAGTTGACATTATAGAACACAGAACGTGTTGCACCTTTACAGTTTCTGCCTGGCCCATTAATAACCAATCCTTAGCTTCATATAACTTCTGTAGTGTTTAGTTTTCCTGATCTGATACATAAAAATATACAAGATATGGAAGCTGAAGCATTGTCTAATGCAAGTTTATTTCTTGCCATACAGCAGGGCTGATTCACTTACCAGTTTCAGTGCTGACCCTGCACCTGCCTGTGGTAAATCCCAAAGAAAACCATAAAGCCTGCTCAGCCTGTGCAGTCTCAGGAGATCACTCCCACTTTACAGATTTCTTGATTTAATTTAATCATATGCCCGTGCAGCGACAATGTTTGTTCTGGAGCCTTCAAAAACCCCTCAGCACTGAAGATTATAAACCAGAGGGCAAGAAAGGGAGAACACGAATTGTGGAAAAAATTGAAATTCACCTTTGGTTTCACAGTCTTGGAAGGAAACAGCACCTTCATATTTGGTCACAAGCCCACCGCCACATGGAAAGCAGAGGGTCCTCCCTGGTTCAGGCTGGTAGGTACCCAGAGGACAGACTGTGCAAGGTTTAAAACCATCTGAGGAGTAGTGCCCAGGAGAACACTGCCCTAGAAAGTGAAAATGGTCACCTGTATTAGTGTGTTGACTTTTCTGGACAAAGTATAAAACCCACTAGCAGTCACAGCAAGGCTCCCTTCAACTTAAACATGTGACATCAAGGCAGATGCACATCAAATTCTAATCTTACCTGCTGGTTTTGTATTGTTCCTGTAACTGCTTCCTAAAAACACCACCAGGAAACATAATTAGCTTCTTAATATGCTTTTTGGCAAATATGTCTCTGTTTGGTTTTGTTTTGTTGTTTTTTTTTAAATTAAGATTTTGTTAGAATACATAGTACTTTCACCAAGTCTTTTGTCTGAGTATTTCAAAGCACTTTGTCAGCTGTTGTGACACAGATTTCAGAGAAATATTATGATGTTACCAGTTTGAAGACAATTTTCCTGTTGTTTTTAGTAGCAAAACTGATCTACGTGCTCTGGTCCAGCTGGTTACTGGACTTTAACATGAAGGCAGATAAAGAAGAGTGGATTTGGATCTGGATTTTGGTCTGAAAATTAAGTACTTGTGAAGGCTTACAGACATCTTGTAAAAGAAGAGGTACAGTTTGACTTTAATAGTGCTTTCAGCACCAATACACCTCACTCCTTACCTTTATATAAGAATGCAGTAACTTGTATTGAAATTCTGGATTGAAATTGCCAGCAAAACAGATCTGAGGTGATTTCCCTGAGGAATGCCCCAAAATGACTAGGTTGACTAAATCATGTTTTGGCCTCATATCTACACGGATCTCATGAAAATTAAGTATCACAACGTGTGTACTGGGTTTGAGTGGCCAGGATTTGGTAGCAAGGGGGCTACAGGGTGGCTTCTGTGAGAAGGTGCCAGCCTTCTTTTTGTTGTTGGGCAGAACAATAATTCAAATGCAAGCCTTGAAACAAAAGTCTTTTTCCTCTAGTAGTTGTGCTGCTTTTGTCAGTATTCTATAATCAACCTTTATAAATTCAGATTTTATTTTGATAAGTTATTCTTGTGGGATTTTGGATAAATACATATCAACAGAGCAAAAATGCACAGGCATTTCAAGATTTTTCCTTTGATAGTTCCTTCATACAGTAAATCAGCAAAATCCATCATATGTTTGGACTGGAGACACCAGTTATTTTTTATTCAGTGGGAAAACCCAGCAGTTTCTCAAGTGACATTCATCATGTGTTCACTTTAGATATCCTGGGAGAAAGCATTAATGTAAATTACATGGATGAGTTTTAAAGTAGCAGATAGGACAGATTCATTTCAAAGTCAGATAACGTATCTGCCATAAACTAGATTTTGCTCATCTGTAATGAAATAAGGTAAAGAAAATAAATTAACAGTCGTGTCTTAAAACCTTATACTGAACAAGTTACAGTAGGAGCACCAGGTATTAGCATCATTGTAATTTGGTTTATATCTCATGAAGTTGAGTCAGAGATGCTACATCACTTGCCAAAAGCTGCAGTGCCTTCAAGCAGCGCTGAAACTTTGCAGTCATTAGTTCTGAGTCTGGGTCAAAGATCCCTGCAGCACAACTATCTCAAAATTATAACTGCTGCTAATTAGAGCAGATTAACTGCATCTCATGTAAAACATGAAAGCAGCAGGTTCATTAGACTCACCAATCCCAGTCCAAAGCAATCCATCCCTTTGGCTCCCAATACACCTGACGAGTCCTTACAAGCTGAGGTATGTCCAGATTCCATACCTGACTCGAACAAAGTGCCCTGCTTGGCTTGCTCACTTCCATACCACAGCTCACACTGCTGTGGCAGGTCCCATCTTCTTGTCAGCAGTGTCAGAGGATGGAACAAGCCCAAACATTCTTTGCAGTGCTTGTAAGTGCACAGAGGTGTCTTCTGTTACCTTCACAAGACAGGAGCGTGGAAGGCTCCCCCCTCGTTTAGCCCCCACGCCTCAAGGAGGTGTGGCAACACCTAATCCCTTTAGAATCAAATGAAACTTGCCTCCACATTCTGACACGTTCCGGGCTCCTGCTACTCCCTGTCCATCGTTACTTGGGCAAGGCTCACAGGTAAGTTGACCTTCTGTGTCCTGGTATGTTCCTGGGGAGCAGGGAACGCACTCATTGTGTTCTCCGCTATAGAAGGTGCCCGTGCTGCAGGTAACTGAGGAGACAAAAGGGGGATCTACATAAGGACTTTCACTGTCATCACATTACTTGCCTTTATATCAGAACATTTTAGAGAAGATGGATCTCTTTGGCCCAAGGACTATAGTGGGGTCTGTTCTGCATATGTCAGTGCAGGATCCTCACTTAGTGCAAGCACACCCATCCCCACTGTGGTCGATTTACATCAGGACAAGGTCCTTCTTCTGCTGTTTAAACTATTAAATGGCATTGTGCTGCCCTGAAGTGTTCATCACACAGATGTTAATAAAGCTGATGTAGTCTTAAAACAGTATATTGCAGTTTATTAAAACAGCTGCACAATGTGTGGGAAGCAATTTTTTTTTTTTTTTTACTTTTACTTTACACCAGGTGCATTTATGTGCTGGTTTTATGTCTCCTGAGATCAGTTCTAGAGATTTCTCCTAGGGCAATGTATCCCATGTAATAATTTATGTCTCTTGACACTCAAATACCCCAACTGTAAAGTGTTTTAGACACAGATATGAACACAGATGCTTTTCTTGCTGCAACAGGGCACATAACTGCATGAATCATTTTGCTCTGCTGGATAGAGGTGGTTGAAATGCAGGGGTTTCTAGACACTAACAGCAACAGTCTTTCAAATACAGCTTCTAAATCGCTGTTCCCATATGATGAAAGCAACCTCACTGGCAGCACCTATCAGATCTGCACTTCTTTCTGCCTGTAAATCACTGGCTGATTTAAAAAGCTGGAAAAAGAGATATGCTGATAAAAAGCTGGAAAAATAGATATGCTGATTTTGAAAAGATGTCTGTAAGTGATTAGAAAGCCTGCAGTGCTGAGAACTGCCCTTAGTAAGTTTGCACTAGCACACTGCCCCCAGCAAAGCACTAGAGCCTGGTAACATGGGAAAAGGCTTAAAGACATCAGGGATTGTATGTAAAGTTAAAACAGGTTTCTATAGTTTATTTTTTAATGGACCTCTTGGGTATTAAATATAAATATATCCATGGGTCACGGATTATTTGGTGGTGAGGAGAGAGAGGAGATATAAAAGTAAATAAATACCACCTAGGCAAACACCATCTTATTGTTTTACAGCACTGTAATTGTGTTTTCATAAGATGCTGGGAGCAACTGGGAACTAACTGCCAACGCTGCCTTGTGGCAGGTTTTGATACCTGCCATGGGAATGTATCCATATATATGCTTTTGTTTTCCTGCAACCCTCCAATGAATTCCCTTCAAAGCCTTATGAACCATCAGTGGTCCATGCACATATGCTGAGTTAGATTGATCTAAATCGTTATCTCACAGATTTCCTCCCTGCTTCACCATGGAAAAGGTAATTTTGGGTGGCTTGTTTTGGGGGATATGGCTGAATATTCGAGTTGTCTGCACTTACCACATTTTCCATCCTGCAGTACTTGCCCTGTACTGCAAGCCTCGTGCCCCTCAGTAGCTTTAGCTGGCTTCTGAGCCACTTCATACTCTGTCCCAGAAAACTGAATGTAAAATTGCTGTTTATTAATAGATTTCCTCAATGTTTTGATTGCAGTTTGCAGCTTCTGCTCCATCCTTTTCCGAACACAGTCAATGTTACAGGTGTCTAGATGGGAAATGATAACAAAACTAGAAGCAATTGAGATTCATGTTTAAAAGAGGTGCTTAACAAAGAGCTCAGCCTGCGTTGCACTGGGACACCTCTGTCTGCTTCACTGTCTTCTCCATATAAACTGAAGCAGCAGCTCACTGGATTCAAGCTCAGGCCTCTCAGAGGGACAAGGCAGTGCACTGAGGTCCATCACACATTTCATGACCTGCCAAGTGCACTCTGAGTGCTCATAGCTTGTCTCTAGCATTGAGGTTATACTGAGTGCACAGGGAGAGGGCTGCAGGAAGCATTCAGACCCCCCTGAGAATTCTGGTGCAGTCCAGGATTCCAGTTTGCTTCTAAGTTTGTGTTCCATCATTACTAATGACATAAAGCAGTTTGTAACGTTTGCAAGCGCTATTTTGCTTTCCAAAAACCTTCCTTGGTAAAGGTTAATTAAGATGTCTGGCAGAGTTAAGCATACATAAAACACACTTACTTAAATACACATATGAACACAACACAGAGGATACATGGAGTTACACAGTCCCCAGGGCTTGAACATGCTTGAACCAGATGCTATAACAAGATGCCATTAACATGCTCAGCTGACCCTCCAGCCCACACCTCCCCTCAGCACTGCTTTGCCACCATCCTATCTATGAATTCAGCAAGGCTGCCACTGGTAATTTACTTCCCAACCTGGTAATTTACTTTCCAACCTGCTCTTGTTTTGCTGGTTTGGCCACAGCTTTGTCTCCCAGCCACGACACTGGCTGTCCCTGAGCTCCTGATAAGTTGAGGATAATAAAACACATGTGATGGCAAGCCAAGTGGGAGGACGAGGAGCATCAGAAGAGATGCTGATTAAAGCTGTGTGTGAATAATTCAGTAGGCATTTAAAGAAGAAATCAGAGCAAGACTTCTACTATCAATACAGAAGTGTTTGCTCCTCCAGTGCTGGCCTTCCTTCAGACTTCCCTTCTGCAAACACTGCAGGAAGCTTCCTGCCAGTGATCCCTCACCTTGTGCCTCCTGTGGACTTTGCCCATGGGGGAGAATTTGCAACCCCACTCTGTTGTACTTCCAGTCTGCCACCACTAATGTTTCTGAATTTTCTCTGCCCATGCTTTCCTTAGTTGAACAGGAGTTCTTGCCACTTCCCTGACCAAAATACCTCAGTGGCAAAAAGAAAGGTGCTTTCAGGCACATTTACTGCTTGAATCACTTTGGCTAGTGAGGTGCCCCCTCAAGGCTGGGGAATCTGCCTTTGAAGGCTGACATATTTCCAGAATTCAGTCCTCATTTTCTTTGGCTGGAATTTGTAACATAATATTCCATCTCAGTAACGTGAAACAATTATTTTTCTTCCTGAAGACTGTTATGAAAACATGATTTTTCCAGCGGTGTGATAGAAGTGTTTGAACCTCAGACTGAAGTTTCAGCAACTTACATTTTGGAGGATATTTTTATCATGGCTGTTGCAGAACTTCTACCTAATCTTTACATTCCCCGTGCATCCATTAGCACTTCTGCTGTTCAAGGAAATCAGACTGAATTAAAGTACACGACTTAACTCAAGGCTTTGAAGGACTTTTGCTGCAGGTTTAATCTTTGTTCCTTTGGCTTAATTTCATACCTGATTCTTTTCAATTAAATCTCTGAACCTCTGAGTTAGGAAAGGCTGTGGAATGAGCCTTGTGCTGAAAGATTTGCACGGCAGCTTGGTGAAACAGCATCAAAGAGATTTTAACAGCACTCTGAGGAACTAAATACCGATTTCTCTCCACAGACTGATCTTTCACAAACCTGAGACTTCTTCTGACTTCATCTCCACTTCAAACTCTGCAGTGATATGGGACACTTCTTTGGACGGGGACTTGCGGCCTCGGCGTTTTTTCTTGGAGGAATCGCACTTGAGGTTCACAAAGGTCACCTGGCAGTTGTCTGTGCAAGGGAATTGGCCTCCTTTGCAGGAGAGAAGCAACACAGAGAAGAAATCAAGTGGCAAAGCAGCAAGTGACAGGCTAGCAAGCAATATCTGGGTTATCATGAGTGTAGTGATTTCACATGTGTGGTGAGATCCCTTCTCCTCTGTGCAGTATGAAAGGTTATGAAAATATATTGGAAAATATATTGCTGCTCTGAATATATTCATCTGAGCAGCAATCACAGATTGTTGTGGGTGATGGACCTTCCAGGTCAGGGAGGAATCTGTAGTGCTCAAGCCACCAGAAGGAATTCATTCCCAGAGTGTGGCTGTATGATATCATCTTCCTCTTAGACCCTGAAGTTCAGGTGACATAACAAACACAAGGCAAAGCAAGCAAATGCATCCAAGAAATCCATTCCCGTGGTGACTGTATGGACCAAAAAAACCCAACTTCTGTGACTTCAAAAATGAGTCTGGTAATCACATCTTATGAAGAGAAAGGAACACATAATACATAATACATAAGCATCTTGATGATTGAGACTTGTTTTAAGTCAATACTTGCAAAATTAGGGACATAAGTGTCTGGATTTCAGGGTAAGGAGAAAAGGAGTCTAAGTTTTAAAAATAAAATATTTAAACCATTGACTTTTTTTAAAATAGCTATTTTTTCTCTGTTCATGGCTCATATATGACTGCTCATTGACTGGTAAAAGTGGTGGTAAGCCAAATTCACAACAGAAAATATATCACCAACAGGTGTTTGGTGTAAGCTGCTAAGTTGCTTTAACAATACAAGCTGTTGCAATTACACAAATATAATGTATTAAAATCCACAAAAACATTCAGCATTAATATTAAATTTAAATGAACTCCAAACACTTGAAGCTGTGGAAATGCACAGCAATGACACCCAAACACTCTTTATTTGTCCCTGTCATGGCATCAATGGGATGTAGGGCAAGAAGTAAATGTCTCAAGGATCTGTTAAATATATAACTTCTAAAACCTCTTTTTTTTCCCCACCTTAAAGTGGTGTTCAATAAAACACATACCTCGTCAGACAAGTTTTGAAAACATTTGATTACTTGGATTCATTGTGACACAAACTTTTTTAATGTCACATTTTTTTATAATTGCATCTAAATCTTCTAAATATTTTTCTAACATCATAAGTACTCAGTGCATCACAACAAAAGATTAAGGCTGTGTAACATCAGATTTTGGTAGTAACTTTCCTGCTTAGGGGTTGTCTTTGCTGCTACAACAGGACACTAATCCAGCATAGAGCAAATAAATAATAGCTTTTGTTTCATTTTAGAAACTTCATTTGGGAAAACTAAATCACACCAAACTGACATTGTTTCATGTAATTTTGCACTAGTTATAGCTTTTTGTCTCAGGATATTTCTGCCATTATCAAGGCCAGAAGAAGGATCAGCTCAATTCCAAACTCGTGGACTTTTGAACAAAGATTTTTCAGAGCAACTGGTGATGTTTTCAGCACTGTTAGATCCAAACCCAAGGCACTGAGAATCTTGGCCTGAGCTTAAATTCAGATCCAAATATGAAAACCATTCCTTTTTTTCTGTCACACTGTGAAAACAAAATATGCAAACAAACAAAAAGATGTACGTGTTGAAGAAACCACACACCTGAAACAGGCTGCTTCCCAGAATCTTTTGGTTTTTCTTTGCTGCGAGGCCGTAAATGGCATTTTGCATCTTTGATTTTAAAACGAGCTTTCTGCTTGATTGGAGGGGCTAATGAATCTGTTGATGTAAAGTGGGGAAAAAAAAAAAAAAAGCTATCATTTGGGATGCAAAGGAAATGAAGTCTGGAACTTGCTTTTAAAAACAGGCTCAAAAGCCTTCCTGTGACATGGAAAAGAGACAGCCCAAGAGTTACACACCTTGTCCAAAGGGATGCATCTCCACAAGTTCATTTTTTCACAGAAGCACATACCCTTAAGCCCAGAGAGATCAAGGAATCAGCTGGTATCACACATGCCCTGAACATACACCTCCCCTCCAGCAGGCCTGCACAGCTTGTTGGATTTTGAGTGAATTTATTTTACTATGACAAAGATTAATTCCTACCTTCCCAACTCTCTGTCTGTGACTTGCCATGTCACTTGGCTGCAGTTCTGTTAATGCCAACCAGGAATAAGATTAATTTAGTGGCAGTTGAAAACCATCCAAAGGAAACACCTTTATCTGACTGCAGTCTATGGCTTGCAACCTTGATTTTTCAGCTTTAAATCCAAGCCTTGTTTTAAAGGCTGTTAGAACCAGGACTGTAGAGGCAGCCTGCCCCTGTGCCACAGGTAGACACATGTTACCTCCCTCTACAGTATTGTACCTCCTAACACATTCCAAATACTTGGTTAGAGAACTGGCAGAATTGGAGAGAAGCACAGCAGGTATATATGTAAAGTGGGCTGACACTTCCCACTGCTGGATGTTGTTTCAGCTGCTTCTAATTTTGCCAGACTTAAACTTTTTTTTTTTTAAATGCTGAGTATCAGCTTTCATTAACAATTTGAAAGCACAGAATGGGATATGCTGAGTTGGAAGGGACCCCCAAGGAATCATCGAGGCCAACTCTTAGGCCTGCACAGGACCATCCCAAATGTCTCTGCAAAATAATCCTGCCATTTCTGAGGAAAAGATGAATGAAACACAGTGTTTTATCATACAAGTCTCATAACCTTTTTATTGGTAATCCCCAGCAGGAGGATCTGTGGTCCTATGGAAGAAAGGGCTTTGCAGGTGAGGGCCAGGACCCACCCTGGCCTTCTGCTCTTGAGCTCCTGATGGGTCCCTCTGGCTCACTACCCAGTGAAGAAATCCCATTTTGATATGCTTGCTATTGCCTGGCTGGACTATGGAAAGCCAATGATTCTAAATATTTCTCCTTACTGGACATATCTCAAACCTCCACCACTCCTACACTGACCTCCCAACACAACGCTGCACTGGAGGGCACCTCAGCACCCCCCAGCCCTCCAGGAGAGCTGCAGAAAAGTGAGTGTGTGCTCACTGATATTGTGGCAGTTTTGGTCACCACAGTATAAAAAGGATATTAAACTCTCAGAGAGTGTCCAAAGGAGGGCAGTGAAGATGGGGAAGGGCCTTGATGGGAAGCTGTGTGAGGACACTGAGGGCACTTGGTGTGTTCAGCTGGAGCAGAGGAGACTGAGGGGAGACCTCAGTGCAGTTTCCAATTCGCTGGGCAGGGGCAGAGGAGCGTGCAGGGGGAACCGGCTGAGCTCTGCTCTGGGGACCAGCGGACAGCAGCCACGGGAATGGCTGGAGCTTGTGTCAGGGCAGGCTCAGGTTGGATCTCAGGGAAAGGTTCTTCCCCCAGAGGGTGGTTGGCACTGCCCAGGCTCCCCAGGGCAGTGGGCACAGCCCCAAGGCTGCCAGAGCTCCAGGAGGGTTTGAAATATACTCGGGGCACAGGGTGGGATTGCTGGGGATGGTCCTGTGCAGGGCTGAGGGTTGGACTGGATGATCCTTGTGGGTCCCTTCCAGCTCGGAATATTCTGTGTTTCTGTGATGAAACACCAGCCACCTTAATCCTGGCCTTGTGTAAGTGAGAGCTCTATGTCCTGCAACTCCCAAGCGGTCTGGGGGACATCCATCACCTTCCTCTGAGGTTCCAGGGCCCAGGAGAGCAGGACAGCACCTACCTGGGCAGCTGGGCAGGGTGGTGTTGCGCTTTGGCTGAGCCTTGCCTTGCTGCACGGGGACTCCACAGCTCAGGGTGTAGCTGTTCTCCGAGTCTGAGGGGCAGAACACACAGTCAGCACAGGGGGCAACAGCCTCACAGAGCATCCTCTCCTATTAACGTTCAGTGCCTGAGAAAACTTCCCAATGCCACCAAATGAAGAGACATTTTAAGTGCCGAACTCGGATTTTGAAAGGCTGAAATAATTTGCCAAAGGCTGCTGCTTCACAGCGTTGACTACAAGTTTTGCTTCTTCCTGAAGCACTGAAATGTTACGTTTTATAAATGATTTGGCACGAGGTTAACTGTACATAATTCCATGGTGCACAAGTAGGAAATATTTCGTGTTTGTCCATGGCAGAGTCTTTCTGCTTTGATCATCCCTATAATTTAGAAAATAAACCATGCATTTTCACAATAATTTTAGCTTCAGGCTCTGACAGAATTTATTGGCAGAAACAAAAATAATACACTTAGAACCATAACAGGGTTTACATATTGCACAGATCAAACTGTGTACTGCTGCTTACAAATTAGATGAATGCACAGCTCCAGTAATCTCTGCTAAACTGTAAATAAAGAGGGAACAGCTCTACTGCATATCATGCCAGGACTAACATGAAAAGTAGAGACATTCAAAAATAATCCTGAGCCAGAATATCTATGAAAAAGCAATAGCAACACCCCCCACCCCCCCTGCCCTGCTCTAAAAAACTGTGTAGATGCAAACTACCTGTAGCAAATGATTAAAAAAAAGAAAATGGGGGGGGAAGACTCTATTCGAGTTGAAAAATACGGTACTAAAAAGCAGCAGGAATTCACTGAAATCCATTTTTTCCTTCCCTTTTGACATAGGAATTCAATATGCTGCAATTTTTCGTGTGCACCATCCTGGATAAGGTGGATGTGTCTCTCAGGTTTTTGTTAGAAATTTCCCACCCCCGCAAATGACACCTCAAATTAAACAACGAAGGACCAAACCTCTAATGGAACTGACAATCAGCTCTTCTTGTATTTACTGATGTGCATGTCTGGCCCAATTTAATTTATAATGATGTTTTGCTTATTTACTAACAAAAACTGAATGCAAGAATCATGAATGCAATAACAGAGAAAAATCATCAGGTCGCAATTCTAGACTTGAAGAGGACAAATGCTTTGTACAAACCTGGAACAAAAAGAGTGTTGGATGGGCATGACAGGAAGCAGCTCTCTATGCCTCCTGTCTTACTACACACCAGCTGAGCCTTGGGAGCTGGTTTGGCATTTGGGAGACATTTCACCATCTCTGAGGAGAAAAAAATAAAGAGAAATATAAAAAAAAAATAAACCAGACACTGCCCAACCCATAACCTCGTGCTTACACTTGGATACAGTGGTGAGGAAAGGCAGAAATGCTAAGAAACCCCAAATGACAGGTGCAGGCATTTCTGAAATAAGAAAATATTAGGGAGAGAGGATCTGGATTTGGATCTCGAGCTTGTACTTGCAAGTGAAACTCCTCCACGTTTTTAGACCTAAACTTCAGATCAGTCTTTCCCTCCTGCCCTCTGCTTTGGGACCACCCAACCATGGCTCCAGGTCTCACTCTGGAAGGCAGGAGTCTGTGAGCACAGTTCTGTGTGCACATCTTGATCTCAGAAGCAACAGGCAACACTGATGACCTGAGATGTCCTCTCCCCCCTTTCGGAGGCACAGGCCAACTACCACACCATCACAGAGATTTATTTATTTAGATGAACCACTAAAATCGTATTTTTCACTTCTTAAACTCTCACAGACTTTTCAACTTTAGCCCAATGCTCTAGCTTCTGGAACTAGAAAAGACAGCCAAGCAGAGGAGATGCTGGGCTGGAGATGGACAGTCCCCCTGGTCCTTTCAGCCACTGCTGACATGCCCCAAGCAGTGCTAGAAGGGACAGTGTGACACACAGAGAGATCTCGGCCATTTCTCATCGGTGCCCACCACATGGGGCACGTTGTAGCTCACATGAAGGAAATACAGAGCTTCTCCTCTTGGCTCCATGGCAGGATGAAGACAGAGAGTATCCTGCAGGTCTCACAAGCTACTCCTCACGTTTGGGTAAGGGACTGTTTGTGTTGTAGCTGAAAACACATGAAGTTGTTACGAATCGTTGCAGCAGTCTCTGAGCTTCACCCTGAGCTGATGACACTGATAATCATAAGCCTGCACTCACTTTAGTTTATCACTTTTTTGGACTGAAGTATTGCTTAAGTACATCCTTTTTCACATGCAAATGACAAGGCTCACTCCCGGCTGCAGCCGGCAGGTGCCATCACTGAGGCAGCCTCACTGCTTCCCTCCTTTTTCCCAGAGATTTCACCTTTTCACCTCTGCACAGAGTGCAGCTGGGCACCTCTTCAAGCATCAGCTGGTTAAATCTCAGCCAGGTGTCTGCTTCAGCCCCACAAAAATGCTCTTTCAGGGACGTGATTCTTCTCCAGCTGCTTCTTGCTACTTCTTCCAACCATGCTCCCCTTACAAGGTGGGCTTGGCTGACTCTTTGTTCTTCTCATGGCTCACTGGGCTACTGCAAATGTCATTTTTCCTCCCTGAACAACACCAAGGCAGGCGTTGCTTCTGAGATCAGACTGGTTTGGCTCTACCAGGGCTTGGGAAAAGTCCAGTAAAGCCGGCATGAAACAGGGCAATTCAAATGCTGGAGCTGGAATATGTGTTGCCTGGCTTGGCCTGAGTGCAGAGGAAGGGTCCCAGCAGCCACCAGCTGGTTCATATTCCTGGCCTCACTGTTCATTAAATATAAATACATACAAGTCCCATAAACATGCCTGATGTTCACATCTCAAGCATGGGAATAATCATCCTCCACTTATCTCCCTCCTAAGGTCTTTCATATTGCTCTGGTGATGTCTTTAAAGACACTGTTTCTTTGGACAGAGGAGACAACAAAGCACAGAGTGCCACTGCTGAGCAAAAGAGGGTTTTATTACTGCAAATGTCTCCAAATTGTGGCATTCAGGATCACTGAATATAATTCACCTGCTTTTTATTGTGCTTTTATAACAATGTAGAATGTAGTTTCCTCTCAACAATGTTGGGAATAAAGGCAGGCGATCAGCAGGGAGATGACACTCATTTTAAGCCTCATTAAAGTAATCAAGCACAATGGTGTGTATCAATAGAGAAGGGTGTTCTATTTTCCATCTTCCAGCAGAGTATTACAAATAATGAGGAGAAATTTACAACAAGGAAAATATTCTCAATGGGAAATGGGAACAGCATTCTTGGGAGGTTGAGAGGAAATATGGCACAAAACTTCTGCAGTCTGACTTTATACTACACCTCCAAAAATTTGAGTCCCTGCTGCTAGTTTACAAACTCCTTTCCAGAGGAATAACTGGCATATTGCAAGGGAGAACTGGTGGGTAACTAAGGAACAGAGTTTTCTATTTCTTATTGTTACAACACTTAGCCCTCTATACAGCAGGGAAGGCAATATATATAAAGGTTAAGCAATATATAATTCTCTGAAGTAAGGTCCCCCCCTTTCTTGTTCTGTCTTGCTCCCAGTGAGGTATTAGGCATCAGCCCCAAATGTATCTGTGAGAAGTTATTTGTGGTTAAAACAAAAACAACCAAAAGCAAAACCAAAAAAAGCAAACAAACCCCTCGGAACCAAAATTTGCCTGTGACAAACCTAAGCTATGCCATTCCCATTAAAAATGGACAAAGAGCATTAAAATCCACAGAAAATACTCTGAATGGCTGTAGCCATGACCAAGATTTGCTGTGCTTCAAATAATATCTTAGGATAAAAGTAATCTATTTAAAAAGGATACAGAAATTCAGGTCAAGGGCCATAATTTTAGTGGTCTCAGGATTTGTGCTCATTGGGATTAATAGTTTGGACACAGCTTGTGTCAGTACTTTATATTAGGCAGGATACCTTTGGAGATAACTTGAAACATTGGGGTATGGTGCTGTGAATGTAGATATTAATCTTAATAACCTGTTCTACTTGTAAACAGGTAAATATTTTGAATATTCTAAATTCATCTTAAAGGGAAATAGAGTTATAGCTGACATTATAGAGATGGAAAAAGGACAAATTAAGGACAAAAGTATAAAACACAGAAGATAATAATAATAAGCCTACTTAGATTTCTGTGAATGGACTTGTAACCTTAAAAAAAATCCACACAAATAAAATCCAACATACTGTCCTTTCTCTAAACCATCTGCAGTTTTATCCTAGCCCATGGACCCCCATAGGACCAGGCATTATCTGAGTTTATAAAATTAATTTGGGGCTCTATGTTGTGAAAATGCAGCATCTCTCAGACGAAACCAAGGGCTTTTCCACTCTCTTGAGAACAGGAGCATCACCACAGTTCGAGCTTCCACACTTACCAACACAGTCCTTTTTATTCCAGTGCAGTTTCTTTCCAGGTGGGCAGACACACTCATAGCTCCCCATGGTATTAAGACACCCATAGTCACAGCTACCATTGCTGATGCTGCATTCATCAATATCTGAAAATATAAACAAAGTTGCAAGGAGTGTTAACCATATGTGCAAACATACACGGTGCATTAAGATAAAATGTGCATAAGGAAACCTCTTTCTACTACATCTTTTATATCTGAGTCTCTGTCAACATGGATAAAGGCAGGCAATGCTCATGCCAACCAACTTTAATGCAAATTGCATGTCTTTGTCCTCAGACACATGTATATCTCCTACTCTCTCAGGGATTTATGCATAGGATCCAATTTACTTGCCAGGAGTAGTTGCACTGAAATTCTTGGAAGTACTCACAAGATACAAAACATGCTCCAAAGTCTCTGCAGCATCTGGACAAAAATGCATATTGCATTATAGAGAAAAATGTCAGAGGCACAAACATCTGTGAGATTAGGTCACTTCTGCAAAACAGGGAGATAAATTCTCCAGTGATTCCCAGATTTTGCTTTTATGATTCAGGTGAAGGAGGAAATGATGTATTCAATAAAAACCTAGCAGCTCGAGTGTAGTTTAGACTTCTACTCTCTGAATAAAAATAAAAGGTAAAAGCTTGGAAGAAGGCAAAGAAGTTACTGTGTATGTCATCACTGATGTCCCACATAAAATCTTTCAACTTTTGGTGCTTCAGGAAAGTATCCAGCCAATATGAGGTGTATCCTTTTAAAGTCTATTCATTCAGCATTTATATGCTCCTGCCAACAAGGCAAATCTCTCCTCTGGTGAGAGGAGGTTAATCACACCAAGGTTGTGGGTTCAATCCCCATATGGACCATTAAGGGTTGGACTCGATGATCCCTGTGGAACCCAGAATTTCTGATGCAAGATTTTAGCCTGTGTGATTAAGCAAAAATCTAGAAAACATGGACTACACGCATTGAAGGAACTGGGAAAGATACCTTCATAGAATAGGCATGTTTCTAGACAACGTTATTATTTTTAAGTCAGTCTGGAGGTCCTGGGTCAGCAGTCCCAAAAACTGACGAGTCCCAGAAAAAATCCTTACTTAAATAGGTAGTGGAAGCACCAGCATTGCCCTTCTAAAAAAAACCCCTTATGACCCACAATTTGTTACAAGAGATACCATGAGAAGAGTCTTAGAGAGAGCAACAAGAGCTGCCCTTCAGCATAACAGGCCCAGAACAAGGACATTCCCATGTGGTTTATTAATTTCTACTAGAGGGGAAGCAAGATGGAGAGAAAGCTTAGGAAGAGGTGAGCTTGCACCACATCCTTTGGAAGGTTCTCGTTATTTCTCCCTGGTTTTCACTTCTGCTCAGTGCCAAGGGGAAGTTATTTGTTCCACTGTAAACACCTCTCTCAAGGGGCTGACTAAAAGTAATGACAGGCCTGAGTGGCACAGCTCAGGGTCTGCACAAGTCTGGATTCTGAGCTGTGATTTTGGATTTGCTCATTATGGAAAAAAGCAGGAGGTTTGGATCTCGTTATGTTTTTGCCTGAACTTCAGCACTGAGTATTTCCAGTTAAGAGTTCTGGTCCTATTTCAATCTTATTTAAAAGGCTGAAGCTGAACTGAGGCTGAAGGTACTTAAAGACTGAGGCCAAACCCCAGACTCTGAGGCTTTCCCTGAGTTGTGACACCAAGGAATTAACAGTGAAGCTGCAGACCAGTCTCTCCACACCACACACAGCACAGGTCCCCAAACTTTCACACTCTGGTTTTGCTTTCAGAACTGCCCTCAAGTGGAGTCTTTTCCCAAACTGTTTCCTTAGATGGACTCCTATTTCTCTTCCTGTCTGCCTCTATTATACAGTGAATTCATTGGATACTTACATCTCCTACACCTTTCTCCCAAAGAAGCAGCAGCCAGGCAGAGACATCATTAGCAGTGGTCTCAATACATGGCTTTTCTGGATTTAAAGCCAGGGCTTTGTTAACAGTATGATTTAGATTGTATATTGAATAACTTGAATAATTAACTAATTATCTATTAACCACTGTTAAACTAAACTAAACTAAACCTTTTAGTTTTACATTTAAAAATAGCATGGAGACCCTTTTGGGTAATGTGTAATTTAGATTCAGGGATTTCAGGTTTTATTACAGTTTTCTCTTTTCACTTCTGTTTGTGTAATGCTGACCTGATTGGTTAAAATCCACAATTTGGACTTGATACACTTAACAAATCCCTCAAAAAACCCCTTTGGTCTCCTCTGACCAGTGTGTTGAACACAATCAAAACCTGCCCCACCAAATTGTAAGTCATGCCCAGCTCATGCTCTTTTAGCTCTATTTTAACTTTATTGCTTTATCATCCTGGGTTCTAAAACCTTGACCTGAAAGAACTTGTGGTTCAGTAAACATTCACAGAGCAAACAAACACACACATGAGCAAAACTCAAGTTTCCAAACCTCCACAGTGTGTCAGTCCATACAGGGTGTAGCCTTTGTGGCAGAGACACTCAAAGCTTCCAGGGTAGTTGATACAGGTGTGATCACAGGTCCTCTCAAATGAACACTCATCTATATCTGAATTAACAGAAAAAGCAGCAAGAAATTAGACTTTAGTTAAACATACAGTTACAACACCTTGTTACTGATAAAGTAACAAGGTATTACCTTACTCCCATGTCAAACCTGAATAAAATAACTCCTTTAGTGCCTGATTTAGAAAATACTTACGGGTACACGGAGAAAGGAAAGAAAAGGCAGTTTGGGAAAACCCCACGCAGACTGTATTATGTATGCTCACCATTAGATGGCAACCTTTAACTTCTGATAGTACTGGCCGGCAGGGCTGGGGGACCGCTAAAGTTTTGGGGGGTGAGTGGCACAATGGGAAAAAGTTCTGGGTTGAATCGAGTCATTCCCTCTTCCACTGCCCACTCCTCTGACACCTGGGCCACCAGGAACGGGAGTTGCTCCCAGACTTCTGCTCTGCCTACACAAGACTGAACAGACTTGCAACAGCTACAGAGGTTTATCTGACAGCAGTCATGACAGAACAGACTTACTGAAAATGGCTAAATTAAACAGCAATCCGCGCAAAATAACACTTTGGAGTTAATTTTATCCTTAAACAATTGGGTTTTTTTAAAAAAATTCACTTCAGTGTTTAATTTTCCTGTGTTTAGGCCAGAGAAATTAATACAATGGCATTATTTGAGAGTGGTAGTTTCAACAGATCTCATTCCTCCAGTGTTCCTGAGAAATAAATGAATGGAATAATGTTCCTATAACACTTTACACACTTTCTAGAGTTACTTATTAAGAGCATAACCTGAGCAACACCATTACAATATATGACTTGGACTTTCATATTGTACATGCTTGGAAAGCTGTGGGTGCCTGTAAAAACTTGACAACTCACCATATTCCTATATCCAAGTATTATTTACACAGTTTTGATGTTTAATGAAACATTCTGGGTCTCATCTTGCTATTATAAATGCAGACACTTAACTCCAAGAACTATAAAATCAAGATTTTCTGTATGTGTACACAAACCCAAAATCTGTGTGAGAGCTTATAGGCACAAATTTAGAATGTCATAAACAGCTCTATTTTTATACAATCTCCAATTTTAAATGTTTCAAAACATTCACACAAAAGATAATTCACAACGTGGGAAGCAACTGTTCAGGCAAATGCATAACACAAAATAAAATAAACATGATGAACAAAAATCTGTGCTACCCAGTTTTATGTGTACATCACAATCACTTGCTATAATCAAGTCAGAAAAACGACAACTGAGATTTTCTCTTTCTTTCATCCATTTAATTTTTAATGCATTTTCCTATGCCTTTTAAAATATCATTATTTGAGTTCTGAAAGTAATTTCTTTTTAAGGTTTCCTTTATAGTCTGGGTAATACTCAGCTTTTGAATACACATAAATGGCAAACTGTTTCAGTTTTCTCTAAATAAATACACAAAGCAAAATCATGGGGGAACGAACAGTGCAGTTATAAAGGATTTTTAATGCCTAAGAAGCCAAATCATACATCATGGTTTCATTCATGTGTGACCTCGGGAAATTCACAACAGCAGTTCATTTTCTGGCCTCTGACTTACCTCGGAAGGGCTCTTTTTCAAAAATACAATTTCATACTTCTCAGTAGTGACCTTGCCCTGGGCTGGTTCAGTCCATGGGCTTTACGAGCTGCTTTCACACAGGGCACTTTGTGCTGCTGCACCTTGTGGCTTAGGCCCTTTTTTTTATTTCACATGAAGAAGGATGCAAATCCCTCTGCCCAACAACATGCCCAGTCATCTGCCTGCCGAGGAACAGGCACTCAGGATGGACAAATGCATTTCTATTACAAAGATGTAGCAGAAAAAAAAGGGTGAAAAGCCTTTTAAAGCCCTCACCCCACCTCTGCTGAATTCAGCACCTTGCTCTGGCTGATGGAACGTGGGAAGGCTCCATGAGGATTTCCCTTGCTGGCCCCCAGCCCCTTCTCCTCCTGGCTGTGGAAGGCAGGGCTGGGCACTGCCCGAGGGTCCCAGCAGAGCCCTGTCTGCACAATCACCAGTCCCCTGAGGAATTCAGCACTTGGCATAGAAAAGGGAAAAATATGCACCACGTACCCCTCACTACCAGAAACCGGTGGGTGCTGTGATACAGGATGCTGAAACCCTTGAGATCCTCCTTTTTTTTTTTTTTTTTCTTTTCTTTTTAAACTCTGAAATCTGTGCTCTGGACACTGTTATCCCCTGGCTCCCAGAAACTTTGAAGTTGTCCCTCACACCTCTGCGGTGCTTCATAATACTTCTCCAAATTGAGCCTGAAGGGATGTGCTTGTTTCCCACCACCCTTATCATGAGGTGCTAATGACACCAGTTGTGGGTTTGATCCCTGTACGGGTCACTCACTTGAGAGTGGACTCGATGATCCTTGTGGGTCACTTCCAACTCAGAATATTCTGTATATCTCTTAAGATATACAGGAAGGCAGGGATTATCCCTTAACAGCCCCTGCTTACCACACCAACTGGGAACAAATGTAGGGATCTAACCCCTGTCTCCTTTGTGCAAACAACACTACAAAATCTGGTAGCCTCACCTACTGAAGAGGAGTCAAAAAAAGCCAAAAGCAGAGATGTGGCAGGTTACAGCTGGAGCACTGAGAACAAAAAATTTATCTTTCAGCTTTCTGGTCAAATCAGCCCCCCTCCCCTCCACGAACACACATGTTTCTGTATTGTGTTGCTCTGAATTTCCCCCCTCCCAAAAACCAGAGTAAATACTAATAAATTATCTTTCTGGGTCTGAGGTGCTCTTAAAACAACTTGAAGTTATTTAAATGAAGTTTTTTAACTGTTTTAACACTAAAAGTCAAAACATTGCGTTTTCAAGGAACTAAGGGGGAAAAGTTCAACTTGAGTTTGAAGTTTGTATTCTATTTTTAGCTGAATTTGGCATAAATATAGAAATAGTCCAAGCTCTGTCAGAACATTTCAGATTTGCTAATGCACTTATCTGACATCAAGTCAAGAATTCCTATCACACTCACCACTGCAGGTGAATTCATATCACACCCATCACTGCACAGGCCCTTGTGCCATTCCAGCACATAAAGAAATGTCTTCACAGCTTTGCTCCCTGAAGTTTACAGGGACCATGGGGCTAAGTTCATTGCTTCTAGTACATGATTAGTTTCCTGCCAGCTTTTTTTTTTTTTAGGATTACTAATGGTACATATAAAATCTAAGAGCAGGACCTCCCTGTTTCACAGCAGATGGCTCAACGGAGGTGCCAAGTTCAGGGCTTGGAGCAGATGAGTTCCAAAGGTCCCTTCCAAGCTCCACCACTGATCCATGGGCAATCCCAGACCTCTCCCCACGGTGTCCTGTGCTGCTGACAGCTCAGCTTCCAGCCCTGTTTCCATGACATCAAGGCATCTTCTCAGGCTGAATAAAGTCCAACATCTCTTCTAGCAATCCCCTTCCCATCTCCAAAGAGAATGTCTGAACAGTGGAAGCACTCTTTGATTTTTGCACAGAAGGGATTCAACTTGAAGAGATTGTTCAATGGTTTAATAAAAGAGCAGGATTTCCCTGGGTTTTTGAGGGAAGCAATTTTTGGCAACACTGGCCATGCTTGATAATATTAGTTTGGCTGGGTTCCTATTATTTCAAGTCAGCATTTGGATTTTATTGTTGGTTTTTCAATCATACTTAGCTTTTTTTTCCCCCTGCTTTCACATGTTAAACGATCCCTTAATGATCTTTATTTTTCTTGAATGCAAAGTTAGTAAGTGGGTGTCAGGTTGTCAGTACTGGAAAGTCAAGTCTTCTATCTCCAGAAGGGAGCTACCACAGATCAAATTTCTTCTACAGTTTCCTCTCACAGATGTGTCTCAAAGGTGACCTGAGGGAGCAGGGAATAAAGCAGCTTATTTTCCATGCCCATTCAAGTCCCTTATTTTCCATGCTCATTCAAGTCCCTTCCCTTTCCACTGGCCCTGCCCCTGGACATTTCCATAAAGCACTGGCATTACAAGCAAGCAGCTCAACACCCAACATGTGCAGGTGAGACTGGAAAACAGTGGCTGATTTAGAGATGCTTTAGAAACTCCAACCTGGTGTAGGAACCTCTGTGACAGAACCCTGGCAGAACATACACGTGCAAAACCCACTCACACAGAGGTGTGATGTGGGGGTTGTGGTTACAGAACTGAACAACCCAACACCCAGTTTGCCCAACTTCACCTTAAAAATCTACTGCAGAAATAAGGGTTGTCCCCTCTCTTTCTTCCTCAATGTAATTTTGTTTGTTCATATTAAGAACAATTGTTTTCAGAAAACCAATGATCACCTCAACAGCTTTTCTCTGACACATACATTAAGTAACTAGGTCAATTTAGGAAACTGGGAACCTCCTCCCAAAACACAGGCCACATATTGTGACTGAATAAGAGTTTGGTCTTGCTGCTTGGAGTATCTTTCCTATTATTTGAAAATAAACGTGGCAAGGAGAGATCACTGTTATTTGACAGTGCTATTTGTGCTACAGAGAACGAGACAGGAGGGGCTCAAAGACAATCAATAAAAGCTATAACAGGGATTTGTGACTGTAATGATATATTTGATTTGTGTGACACATCTTATACTTGATTTATCTGTGTCTGGTGAGGCAAGACATGAAGTATGCACTAGATCACTGCATATATGCAAAATACATAAATTTAAATATACTATTTCAAATAGAAGTGAAATAGAAAATTAATACTTTTTACTAAGAAATGGAATGTACAACAAAAAGAAAAGGAAATCTCTGTCTCTGCTAGCAACTCCTTCATCAGCAAAAGTGACTCATGACACCCCGAATGCTGGTACATCAGCCAAAAATGGTCACGATATTACAGCAATACTTCGAGGGGCTGTTACAGTCATGACTCCACACACTCCCAATACATAGTTCTGTTTTGTCCATCTCACGCAGCCCTGGTTTATTTTTAACCCCCAAGCCCAGTGTGGACTCATTTGTACCCCGGATCATGCACGCAAGCCAAGCTCAAGGTTA